TCTATTTCTAGCTTAGCTCATGAAGTACTATCGGATCAACCATTGATATTTAGAATTTCGATATACTAATATCCATAATTTGAAATTTAAAGTTCTTTGGTCAATATCATGTAGTGCTTGAATTCTCCTTTATTTGTTGTAATTGTGCTTTTGACTTGAATTTCCAGTTAATACAGAGATGCAAGAACAGAGGGTCACAAGCACGGCTGCAGTTGTTGATCTGAAGCCCCCGCCAACCGAAAATTCGGTGGTTGAGAAAATGCATGGGAAAAATGGGTCTTTGAGACGAGCAAAGTCTGCTATTACTGCTACTTCATATACAGTTGCTTCTCTTCAACTTGCAACTAACAGCTTTAGTCAAGAAAATATTATTGGTGAAGGCTCACTCGGTCGAGTTTATAGAGCAGAGTTTTCTAATGGCAAGGTATGTTTTAGAACATCGTGTTTTGATTTTGAAGGAGTAATTGATAAGAAACCAATTCAGCTAGTCAAGCAATATTAGCCTATGTTTAGCTACTGCCTTTTTAAAATTGTGGTGGCTGAAATCCTCGTTATGGTTATGGTTAAGTAAACTCTGTGCCATGTCCACCCTAGGCTATCTCAGTCTGTCATTTGCCCTTCCAATAAGCATGTACCATTGCTCACATATCCCCATAAGTGCTCTCGGAAGTTATTGCTTTAAGCATCAAAATTCTAATCGCTAGATTTTCTGCCTAAGTAGAAGCTTCATATGCAGTGACATCTTCATTTCAGCTCTTCCATCTCATATTGCTGCTTCCGTATTAGTTTCCAGATTAATTGTTTTACACAAAACTATTCACCAATGAGCATGGAGACTATGGACCTGGCTTGTAATTTATGTGCCCGTATTCCTTCTATTTACTTTTAAGTTGTGTGCTGGTTCAGGTCTTGGCTGTTAAGAAGATTGATAATTCAGCATTATCCTTGCAAGAGGAGGATAATTTTCTTGAAGCTGTGTCAAATATGTCACGCATCAGACATCCGAACATTGTCTCACTTGTAGGATACTGCACAGAACATGGGCAGCGTCTTTTAGTGAATGAATACATTGGAAGCGGGAGTCTGCATGATATGCTACACTTCTCTGATGATGGAAGCAAGAGATTGACATGGAATGCACGAGTCCGAGTTTCACTTGGAACAGCCAGAGCTCTAGAGTAAGCTATATTGCATTAACTTTGACGAACTCAACTTTGTTCCTATTTGTTAATTATATATTTTGTACTGAAGACCTTGATCTTCTGTAGGTACCTGCATGAAGTCTGTTTGCCATCTGTTGTACATCGAAATTTCAAGTCAGCAAATATTCTTCTTGATGAAGAGTTCAACCCTCATTTGTCAGATTGTGGACTGGCTGCTTTGAATCCAAACACAGAGAGACAGGTACAGATTTAAGACTAAAAAAGCTCTGTTGTCTCAATAGTAACTATGATGGGCATAACCTTTCCTTTTGACTTTTTAAATGGTGTGGAAAATTTCTGTGGTGTGATAAAATAATAAGCAATTACGTAGTATTCTCATGGTTTAGTCATCATCGGTCTCAAATATTTCAGTGAATGTTGTCATGTTGTTGCATTCAAGTATCATATTTGAGCAAAATTGATTCCCACTGATGGATGTTAGTACACACTTTTTGGATCCATTTTTGCCAATCATGTATTCAGTTCTTAAACTTTTGAATATAAAGCATGGATATGAACCCCTATGTCAAAGATTTATCATTCTTTCGAAATTCAGTGTTGATTTTCTAATTTTTTTACTTGAAACATGACATTTTAGATCAGTGAATGTTTAGATTAAAAGAAAATTTGGTATATAGTACTAAGGAATCTAATATATTTGCTGGCACATCCCCAAAACAGGTGTCAACCCAAATGGTAGGTTCGTTTGGTTACAGTGCTCCAGAGTTTGCTTTATCTGGAATATACACGACAAAAAGTGATGTATATAGCTTTGGGGTGGTGATGTTGGAGCTTCTGACAGGGCGTAAGCCTTTAGATAGGTGCAATCTTCCTCTGCTAAATTTTCTTGTTGCTTAGTTCATTTATGTTTGCTTCTCTTTTTTCTTAAGAATATCCTGTCCTTTTCAGTTCTAGACCAAGATCCGAACAATCACTTGTAAGATGGGCTACACCACAACTGCATGATATAGATGCTCTAGCCAAAATGGTTGATACCACTCTTAATGGCATGTATCCTGCAAAATCTTTGTCTCGGTTTGCTGACATCATTGCTCTCTGTGTTCAGGTAAGGTCTTTTGACTTTCTTTGCTGATTATAGATGGTGTACGACCATTATAAGTAGCCAAAGCATAAAATTGCAAATATATACTAGTGTCTTAAACCATTTAATAGGATTTTTTTTTTACTCTTTTGGAAATAGGGCTATTGCAGCGTCTTACTCCGTAATTTGTCTATGAAGTATATCTTAGTCCCTTAATGAGCTGAAATTTTGGGTGTGTTTACCTTCACCTTGAGCCAAACTTGGTAGGATTCTGCTCCTATTCAGACACTGAACATGACTGTTATCATCTGATGTGACATGTTATTTTTATTTGTTGACGATATCTGTTGTGTGTTGTATGTTACACTAAGTGTTAATTGTTCGTGCGCTACATCCTACAATAGTCTTTCTAGTTATTGTACAAAATAGTTGTGACATGGTCATGACCATTCTTCTATTATGCTAATCTTATACAATTAAGCTTACATCAAAACCATCTGTTTCTCTTTATAGCCTGAGCCAGAGTTTCGACCACCAATGTCAGAAGTAGTACAAGCATTAGTCCGATTAGTGCAGAGGGCAGGTGTTGCAAAAAGGCGATCCAGTGATGAATCAGGTTTTGGGTTCAGGACACCAGATCATGAGGCAATCGACATGTCATTTTAAAAAGTCCGGAAAATGAGATTAATCGGCGCCAATTTTGTTTTGAAGTCCTAACCGAGTTGTATTACCCCTTCTACCTCTGTTGCTCGAAGCCTTGCGGGAAGACATGGAGAGTGCAAGAGTTGATCATAATCGGAGTCTATAGAATCTGTAATTAGTCTCTAAGCATGTAACAGAACTTGTCCTGGGTACATATATTATTTCACTGGCAATGTAATCAATTTTTTTCATCCAATAGAAACTGAGTGTAAAGTCAGAACGATCTCCCGTCTACTGTTTTGGAAACACTTCACCTGTTTCCAAGGATCTATACACCTTATTACTCTGAGCTGCAAATATGAGCTGCATTTCTGATACCTATGTTGCTGATTTCCTGGTGTACTCCCATCTCGAAGATATTGTCTCAAATATTTTATACCAAGTATATTCTAAGTCAACTATCCACTTTATTCCTTAGTCTCAACTTCTTGAAACAATCCTAACTTTCAACTACGAGTAGATCAGCACAAAAATGTCTAGGAAAATAACCTATCTTTGCTTTCGGCCGACAATGTTTAGCCACCTCACATCACATAAAAAGTTACCCCTTTACGAAGTTTTATATTGAAGTGATTCTCATAACTCGATAGTGAAAATGATAATTTATGATGTGATATAACTATAACCTACTTTGATGTCCTTTTCCCAAGTCATGATAACCCATCTAAGAGATGAACTTAATTACCGGATCTTAGATGTTTTTCTTCCAAAAATAAAATCGATGCGTATTTTGGGTTATACATAGAAACATTTTAGGATGTTCTGAATCTTAGATGTTTTTCTTCCAAAAATACTGTTATGCATTTAGAACATCCTAAAATGTTTCTATGCATCACCAAGAATACGCATTGATCATCCTTCGTCTCGCTCTTGAATACAGGAGTTGTGGCATAAGACCATAAGAGCCAGCCAAAGAGGCCAGATACTAAAGGTTTGGCAATCAAGCAAAGTGGGAGTATGTAGAGTATGATATTGTATTAGTACAGGCTGGTCACATGGTATATCTTTGTAAACAAACATGTAACATGAGAGTACAGACTATATTGATCCACATAATATAGGGTTGTTACTATTCACATGCCATGCATTTTCATGAATTAATTCTCTTTCTCCTTTTTTCTTACCCTTTTTAGAAAGATGCTGAAGAGCATAGAAGCCTTACCATTAAAAAACATGAAATTGCTGGTGTTATAATGAGGCCAACATGAAAAACATATCAAAAGAAGCAACAAAATAAGAATGCACAATCAAACAAGTAACATATGGAAGTTGCTAAATTCTAAGAGCTTTGTATTATTTTGTGAAACCCCCACAAAAGGAAAGGAACTTACATTTTTTTTTGGAAGATGTACTTTAATTACTACTTCCTCGGTGAAGTTTAGTGAATTTATTAAAATAATAGGTGGTGGGGTATAAGTTTAAAGAGAGAGAAGATAATATGGGGTTTTGTGAGGGATCATTAATTAGTAGAATATTAATAAAAGGTAAGAGAATATTATTAAAAAATAAAAATAAGTTACTAAAAAAGGAAACATTTCATTTCATTTATTTAAACACGATCGTAAAAAAAAAAAACGCTTCATTTATTTAAACACGGAGGAAGTGATTTCTCTCATAATTAAACATGGCCAAAAAAAATATGATACTCGTAATAATAAATTATATACTACTCGTACAATATTAACCTTCTTTCCACGCAATAATATGATTTTCTTGTAACTACAAATGTCAAAAGTATGAATCTGATTATCATGAACCATTTTTGTCAAAAGTATACATAAAATTTACTAATTTTCTCCCCCTTAAGTCACATTCGAAATAATAATTTTCATAGTATACTAACATGCAAAATATCTAAAATTATAGAGTATTTTTCCATATTCCTACCCAAAACTTGTCTTTCTTTTTTTTGCTTGCTAAGAATCTTACATTGAGTTTCCTAAAAAAAAAAAATTAAAAAAAAAAAACACAAATTCTTATATGTGGCTGGCTGGCCACACCGTGTGGTCAGCCATCTAAGGTTACTTCGTTAGTGTTATAAAGGTTATTTCGTCAGTATTACAGGGGTTACTTCGTCAGTGTTAAGGGTTACTTGGTCAGCATTACAGGGTTACCTAATTAGTATTACATGAATTAGTATTGTTTGTTTACAAGCGGCCACACGATATAGCCGGCTGCACACGAGATGGCCTGGAAAAAAAAAAATTACATTGAGAATTTTTCTAAAAAAATGGAAATTAATTTGCCAAAAAAAAAAACTTTGTTGTACAACAAATTTAAAAAAAAATATATAATTATCTTGTAATAATAATGTAATTAGTCAAATATAGTCATAAATAATATTCTTACGAAAAGACGCAAGTCATTCTCCTCCCTCCAATTTCTCCCTACTTTCTCCATCAAAATTCCACCCTTTCAACCATTGCTTCAATCTTTCCTCAATTAATTCTTCCCCAATTTAGTAAATCCGCCATTAATTAATTTCTTCAAGTTCCCCCTTTTCTATTTTTTCTCTCCTCACAAAATTTCAAGCTCACAACAATGAATTTGAGCTCCATTAATGGCGTTTCGAAGAATTTCTCTGATTCAGATCAATCTTTGGATACACCCACTTACCGCTCCAAAAAACTTGGGTCAAAGAAACGGGTAATTAGGGTTTCACCTTGGAAACGTTTCAAGGGATTGGGATTTTTGATTGGATTATTGGGTTTTTTCTTTCTTGTCAATTGGTGGATGCTTTCCCGCCTAAATCATTCTGTGTTTGTTCCCAAAATTAGTTCTTCCTTCAAAAAATCCAAGTCTCCCGTGATTATTAAGGTATAAATTTAATTGAATTATATAATTATATTTATTTTAGATGAATGGTGTGCTGTTTAATTGCCAATGAGTAAAGGAAGCATTCGCGGGTTCGAATCTGGATTAGTCGGAGTCTAGAAGGTTTTGGATTAGCGGGCCAGGTATCGGCCTAAGTTAAATTATCTTTTGATCCTCTAGGAAAAAAATGAAAAATTGGAGGGAAAGTGTCAATTTTTATTCATTTTTGCATTTAAGGGAATTTAGCTTACACATCTTTGAATTTATTTTCAATTTGTATGGACTTTTATTGTATGCTTTTTCTGTACAAGTGCAACAGAAAAAGAAGGCAAATCTTATAAATTTTGTATGATAATTATGGAAATGTACTGAAGAAAGCTATGCTCCATTCACAATTGTTGGGAAAATCATATTGTATGCTGGTTGATTTTTTGGTATATGATTAAATATTTATGCTATGTGATAGTTAGCGGTATTTGAAGTGTGATTCCGTACTAGTTCGTTGATTTTGGAATTGTTTTGTCAATTGTGGAATTGAGGGAGTAGAAACTTTAGTTTTTGTGAAACAAACTAGGTGTCTTTCTCTTGTGGTGAAGGAGAAGTTTTGCTCAGCTTGCCTTAATTTATTTAATCTTCTTTGAATATGCGGTAACTTTTGTTAAGTGGCTGCAAATAATGGATGATTACAGAACAATATCAATCATTTGTTCATTGTTGGTATAGACAAGTCTGACAACTGCTTGAGCCATTTTGAAGGCAATTTTTATATATGTACTGATTTTTGTCACTGAATGTAGGAAGACCTGAGAAAGATAATTAAAGTGAATAAGCCTCAAAAGACACCATTTGGAAGGTTGTTGAAGTTAGCTGCCCATGCATTAGCAGAGGTATGCCTTCTTTCTTGCGTTGACCACTTAGTTAAGTGTTTGTATCTATGCAAGTACATGCATTTTCTATCCAGTCTTTTAGTCTGTTAAAAGTTCACATCTTCCACAATTTGTAGGGACAGAATAAGCCGGAACCAAAAGGGCTGTGGGAAGAGCCTTATGATCGTGCTTCCAACTGGAAGCCCTGTGCCGAGGAACGTGATTGGGAACCTAGTGGTAAGTAATACCTTTCAAGGTCCCATATACCCTATTGTTTTTTGCCCCTTATTCTTTGATTTGACTTACACTGCTTTTGCTGTGTCTATTCATCAGAAGGAAATAATGGGTACATTATGGTTACTGCTAATGGTGGGTTGAACCAGCAGAGAGTTGCAGTAAGCAATCTTTATACCTTTTTTTCTGAAGAAATTAAGCTACTGTGGGTGAGCTACTCATGGTTATAGTAAGGGTTCTGAGTAGTATGCTACTTTGCTTTTATGACAACAGGTATGCAATGCTGTAGCTGTTGCACGATTACTTAATGCAACTCTCGTCCTTCCAAAATTTATGTTCAGTAGTGTTTGGAGAGATGCGAGGTATCATCCTGAATCCTTGACAGCTTAATTCTTTTTCTATCAATCACTTGGATCAATAATTCAGTTATTGTGTGTGGTTCTCCCCCTACTATTATGTTATTTTTAATATAACAATAATTTCTTTTCATTGTCCTAGTCAAAATGTCGACTTGTTTTATTTGCTTGGGGAACTGTGTGTGTGTTTTTTTTTTTTCAATCTAATGTGTTATATATGATGCCTTAAGAGTTAGTTGTTTGGAGAATGTAGTGACCTTATCTGTGGGCTGATGGCTTCCACTGTTGTAAAATGTCCAAGATATCTGAAGTTTTTTTTGTACTACCTCCGTCTTTTTTAGTTGACACCATTTTATTATCACGCTTGCCAATTCACAATTTTAACGATTAATATATATATATATATATATATATATTTTTTTTTTTGGTTTTTTTGAAGAATAACGATTAATATATCTAACTATAAACATTGTAAAATTATAAAATGTGGATATTAATGAAATACACATTAGGACGATTCAAACAAGATCTCACATGACTATGTTTTATCGTAGCTATAGATCACAAAAGTTAGTCAAAGTATAGTTTGTAAATAGTGCAAAAGTCAAATGGTGTCAACTAAAAAAAAAACGGAGGAAGTACTATTCTTCTAGAGAGTTTGCTATTTGCTTGATTATCGTATATCACCATTTAATTTGCTTAAACTGTTTTTGTTCTTGTGTTCCTAGACTTGTCTTGCTTTTGATTGATGCTCTTGTCCATGTGTGGTTGTGTATTGCATGCTGTTGAATTGTTCTCTTGGATTAATGTTTAAAATTTGACAAGGGTAGACAACTTTTTGTTAGCTTGGTATTTACTTGTGATCATTCGTAACAATGTAGTGACTAAATGCTTGAATGTTTTCAAGCATTTTAGTGCTTTGAATGGAAGAGTGACTATTATATTCCGTAATTCTTAGTCAATTCGGCGATATCTACCAGGAGGAGCATTTTATCAATTACTTAAAACCTGATATCCGGATAGTGAAGGAACTTCCTGAAGAACTGCAATCTCTAGATCTAGATGCAATTGACAGTGTGGTCAGTTTTCCCACTCTAATAATCGAGAATTATTTGTAGCAAATTTGGGTTCAGCTTCTTGTGTTGCATCTGCTTTAACTAGAAAGCTTCTTTCAGGTGACTGATGAAAACATCATGAAGGAGGCCAAGCCAAGCTTTTACCGCAAAAATATCCTTCCTCTCTTATTAAGAAACAAAGTCATCCATTTTCTTGGATTTGGAAACCGCTTGGCATTCGATCCAGTTCCATCTCAGCTTCAGGTAAATTGTATGAGAATGAGGTTCCTTTAGAGCATCTATGATCTATAATCTACCTTTTCTTTTCATTATGTATTTTTGCTTCAACTGTTATGCTCCTGATTGAGGATTACATTCAGAGACTACGATGCAGATGTAACTTCTATGCACTGCAATTTGTCCCAAAGATTCAAGAAGGTGGTGCATTGATTCTTCAAAGAATAAGGCAAAACTCTTCTCATGCTGGACTACTGGATAGTTATCTTGTGGGCCCATATGCAAAGAAAATGGTGAAAGGAAAAAGAGGCCATTCTGTGAAAGGCCCAAAGTACCTAGCTTTGCACCTGAGATTTGAAATTGACATGGTGGCTCATTCACTTTGTAAGTTTGGTGGAGGTGAAGAAGAGCGGAAGGAGTTGGAAGCATATCGCCAGATTCATTTCCCTGCATTAACACGCCTTGAGAAGAATGAAAAGTATGTGCTATGATTGTGTCTGTTAATCCCTAGCTTAGTTACCTAACTTAGAATTTAGATAGTCTCTTGACTCATAACATCAAACCTGTTTTGGGTGAAGGCTTGGGTTGTAATAGGGATAAGAGGCATGAGGAATACCTGATAGGGGCACTTCATAATTATATTTCTCTTCTGTGTTGTAAATACTAATCAATATCTCCAGATATGCTCTCAGCTAGTCTCGAGTCAGGGATGGCAATTTTGTATTGTGATCGATTTCTTACTGATTTCCAATATTAATTTTAAAAATTGTATTGCAGGTTACCTACTCCTGATGAACTTAGGTCAGAGGGTCTTTGCCCATTAACACCTGAAGAAGCAGTACTTATGCTTGCTGCTCTGGGTTTCAACCGTAAGACACATATATTTCTGGCTGGTGCTCAAATTTATGGAGGACAGTCAAGGCTGGCTTCCTTAACCAGCTTGTATCCTCATTTGGTTACTAAAGAAAATTTGCTTTCACCATCTGAACTCGAACCATTTAAGAACTTTTCATCTCAGGTAATTTGCAAAGTACAAAATCGTACTTTTACTTAACTTTAACAAATCTTTGTGAGTAACGCAATGAGTGTGATTGGTCCCTTTCATATATCACTTCAGCCATCTAGTATTGATTTAAAATTGGGTAACTCTCATTGGTAGCCCTTTATTTGTGGACATAAGTTTTGGTAGCAGAAAAATAAAAAAATAAAATTTAAGAAATAGCCTTGCGTTTTTAGTCGATGTCAATAATGTCATCCATGGCACCAACAAGGCCATTTCTCATATTTTTAGTTGGATAAGGTACCACAGTTATGTTTAAAATCTTCTAAATGGTTTGGTTCCAATGTGTTATAGACAGTAATTGTTTTGTTCATTGATTTGCTAAACTATGATGATTTTATTGTTTTCCCTCCTTTCTTAGTTGGCAGCACTAGACTTTATAGGTTGCACAGCATCCTCAGCCTTCGCCATGACAGACTCTGGGAGTCAGCTGTCAGCTCTAGTTTCTGGTTTTCGCATGTATTATGGGGGAGGACAAATGCCAACAATAAGGCCTAACAAACGAAGACTTGCAGACATTTTCTTGAAAAATACCACAATAGAATGGAAGGTTTTTGAGCAGAGAGTGAGGAAAGCAGTGAGACAAACTAAACAAGTTCACCGACGGCCAACAGCAAGAAGTATCTATAGGCATCCTCGTTGCAAAGAGTGTATGTGCTTGTTGGAATAGAGTGTCTTAGTTTCGTATTACCAACCATAGAATAGTTGTTGTATATTGGTGTTTTGTCAGGTTATATTATCCACCATTGTTTATGCATAGGTTGTGATTGACAAGTTTTTCTGATTTTTCTACCCATTAGAGGGAAATTACATAGTACAAACTGATGGCTTTCACTTTGGCAAGCAGCGGGTTTTGATTGTATTGAGTTGTAGTCTTGTAGTGTTGTACCATTTCTGGTATGATACACTAACACAGAATTTTGTAATGCCAAAGCTATTTTTTTTTATTGCCGTGTCTCAACATATTTCTATTCTCTTTGCTCTCCTGCTTAATTATGATGACAGTTTCAGCCTTTGGTGAAGCAGTCAGAGAATTCATTTCTCAGATATCTGCAAAGACTGCATTACAGGTAAACACCCCCCCCCCCTCCCCTATCTTAAATTTCATCTATTCTATTTCTTTTCGACATTTTTACACTGCTATTGACTCAAATAATTACTCCCTGCATCCCACATTATTTTGCACCTTTGTATTAGGCACGTGATTAAGAATTGAGGTTGGAATATGGATAGAGAAGCAAGGGAAAATTACATGAAAAGGCGAGTGTGCAATTAATTTGGGATTACCAAAAAATGTAACTGTACAAAACAATATGGGACAAAGGCAAAAGTATTATGAATCGGGTACAGTGCCTCAAATAACAGAGTTTTGCTATTCTATATTGGTATCAGCTACTTTCAGTAAAGAATCAAGACTGGAACTTGACCCTCAGCTATTGAGGCAGGTCACCATTCACAATGCATATTTCTAATTATACATTTTTTTGTATAAACTGGAGTTATTTTAAATTCTAATAGCTCATTTTGACCATTAGTAAAACTATAGTTGCTTATAGGTATCGATCTCTTACGATACTGAAACAGCTAAAACTGACAAGGGTATCCTCACAATGTGATCCAAGCTTCCTGTTAGAACAATCTCTCCAAAGCTGAAGTCCTTCTTTGCCTGGGTAACATTCAGCTTTATCTCCAAATCTCGGGTCTCTGTAGGAGCAATGGTGAACCAAGTTGGAGATACATGAACTATGACCCCATTTGGTGGAAGCACAGCACACAGGTATGTTTCTTGTTTGCTTCCCACATTGATCACGTTCCGCCTAACTATTTGAGATCCAACAAGAGATGTTATTGTCACTGATGGTAGGTTCAAGTCTGCTGGATGTGCGAGTGGATGGTTGCATGAGCCACCTGTCGCAGCTTCAACTTCTGTTTTGTTGACGTTAGGCAAAGAGCACAGGAAAGCTACATATTCTCCTTCTCCTGAACAGAAAGTAAACATCTTCCTACTTAACATGGGGTTAACAGCTCAGTCTAAGAATTAATTTTCAGCAATGCATAACTTTTCCGGCACTAGTAAAAACTTTAGATTGTACAAATATTAATTTTATGAACCCTCTTTCTGTTTTTAAATAAAAAATGTATGGTAGAAAAAGTTGTGGGTCATAGTTTTTTCATAAAATTGCTCCTATTTCTTCTCATATTCTGCTTTTATGACAACTTACTTGGGATTAATGTTAAACCAGGATCTACTGCTCTTGCTGGATTCACCAATCCACCACCTATGTCAAAGGGAGTAGAAGGATAGAAGCTACCAAGATCATATCCTTCAGAGAGTATTAATTCTCTAGAATTGTCGTATTTAGTGGCAGTAGTGGAGATTGCTGATGCAATCATCGGCGGAGTCCATGAAGGGTTATGTTGCTTGATCAATGCAACTATTCCTGCAATATGAGGTGCTGCCATACTAGTTCCAGATGTCAATGCAAAATTGTTCCCTGTAATTAGATACTTATTTCTTATTACTTGGAGTAAAAAATATAGTGCAATCGTTGCTTATACTCTCTCTATCCTTTGAAGAAGTATACACAAGCATTTTGCATGAGATTAGAAAGAGTGAAAAAAATAAGGGAAATAAGTGGCAAGGTGGGTGTGGAGCCTAACTACAGAGAAAAAACTTTCTATGAAGGGGGTGTATACTTCAATTTGGGACATCCAAAATCGGTTGATGTATACTTAGAGGAACGGAGGGAGTATATTATTCTCTGCATGAAATATTCAAATTTTCTTGTTTTAACTTACCTTCAAATATGGGCTCTGAGACACTAAGAGGGCTCCAAGCTGCCCATATCTGATGTCCTGGAGCCACAAAATCAGGCTTGAGAACATCTACGGGATTTCTTTGGCTATCGACAATATCAGGTCCCCTAGAAGAGAATCTACTTACAGCAGGCGCTTGTCTGTCAAAAAAAGCCATTCTCCCTTCACCTATGGAGGCTCTCCCTCTATATTTTACTACACATCCTTGTGCAGTTCTTTTTGTTTGCTCTTTGTAATATTTAGATATGATCTACGAAAAGAATCATCTTTAAAAAGAATTCGAAAAGGTTATAATATTGAGATTTATGATCATATTATATTATGGTCTGTTAGATTTTCAAATTTTTACTATCTTTTTGGGATTGAGGTCATGTAACTGAGATTGTACCTCTGCATCTGCAGTTTTGGGGATCATGATCCCTGGCACTGGGAAAGGCACTGGTTCTGCAACGAAATCACCATAAGCAGGATTCGCAACCAGGATAAAACCCATGAATCCCAAATGTTTTGCAGTGTTGATGATGGAAGTGAGAGTGGAAGTCTGGTTATAAAATCCAGCAGAGAAATTGCAGATCACTATGCTGCCTGTCACTATTATGGGATCAAGAGCTTCCGGAAACTGGCATTCCTCTATGTAAGGTGGAGTTCTTGGGAATGAACCATTAATATAAACAGCATCTTTTGCTAGCACCAGTTTATATTTCAGTATTCCATTTCCAAAGGTTGGCCCTGCATTTGAGACAAATCATATTTGCAATTTAGCAAATTTGGATGTACGGCTTCAGTTAACAGTATCACAAGAATAAATTCGAAATATTTACCTGATAACCCCACTCCAGGAATGTTCTGACCATTTTCAAGAAAGAGAGTAGCAGGGTAACTTCTGTCTGTGCTGCAAGCAGCAACTCCAACAGACCAAGGGCTGTAGGAAACCACGGTGCTCGGGCCAGGCCCTTTGTTTCCTGCTGCTTGTACCACAAAAACCCCCGCTCTTCTTGCTAGCAGTGTGAAGATTTCAAATACATCAAGGAAAGTTATTGTATCTTCTCCTGGTTCATCTGGTTCCACTGACAAGTTCAGGATGTCTACTCCATCTTTTACTGCCTGATATAATCGAATGGACCTTGAAACACTTTAAGTACCGTGGCAATTGTCAAAAATTCAAAGGGGTTCATAGATCCTTATGTTGAGTACATTACACGGAAAAGGGACATGGATACGTGTACAAACAAAGATAATTTACAGGGGAAAACAGGGATTTTGGAAGTAGTCATAATATGTGTTCATGTGTCTTAAGATTTATTTGGTATTCGACTCTCGGATACGGAAATCCATCTTCTAAAAGTGTTCTGCTACCTAAATGCTGATTGTCGAGGAGCAATACATGTTGGGATTAATTTTACAAGAATCATATTTACACATTGAGATCATTTTCTGTTAATTAAATCAAACCATGTTTATTTAAATTGCATTAACTTCAGATAAATGCTTACTTGATCAATTGCAGCCAAAACATCAGTGAGTGTACCAACTGTTGGATATATAGCCTTGTAAACTGCAATTCTGGGAGGATATTAGTTTGCCTCCAAAAACCTCATATACAAGAGTTTTAACCCAAAAATCAACCGCAAGGAATCATGCTTTCTAGCACTCACCGAGCACGTGGCGCCATCCCGCTGGCTGTTCCATAAAAAAAACCATTAACCACCACTGGAACCCCTGAATTCCCAGCAGCAGTTGACGCTACATGACTGCATCAAATCATACATTGTGTAAATTACACAGCTTTATTTCTTACCAGACTAATAAGAACAAGCCAAATGGAATATATTCATAACATATTAACATGCAGATAAAGTTGTGTGCTTGTGTTATTCAATGAAATAGTGTAGAATATGAAAGAATTTCTGTTTTCCTGAATAAGACTAATTTAGCTGACATAATTGGTTTGGCCTATGTTACGATATCATATGTGCAATAATAGAGTTTTTGACAAAATTGTATTGGATCCAATGATCCTTGAGTAATTAAGCACATTCATATAATTTTCATTATATGCCCTAATTAATTAGGAAATACTGTATGAAATAATTTGAGTATGTTAGCAACATATATAAATATATATGATACTAGAATGTATAAACTAGCTCTAATCTACATTCGAGTAAGGACAAGATAGTCAATTATTACATGCCTAATAACTAAAATACCCTAATACCAAGCAAAACTTGGTCTAATGGGTAAGTTTGCATCTTACAACCAAGAGGTTGTGGGATCAAACCCCACTAAAGGCACTTCCCCCCACTCCCAAAGTGCCTAGCCCGTTTACCTGGGCCGAGAGAACTTATGAGAGGTTTTGGTTGATAGGGCCTTCTCCTTACCAACCAAAAAACAAAAAAAAAAAAAAATAATAAAATAAAATAAAATAAAAAATAATGTATTCGAGGGATGATACACAAATCTCTTAGACTCACGCATGCTTAAGTAAACATTCATATTATTTAAGGCCATTTGGCGGTTTTTTTTTTTTTTTTTTTTTGTAAAAAGGTTTAGAGTGGACACTTTAGCCTTTATCTATAAGACATCTCTTATTTAACGGTATTTTATTTCAAGTAGGTTAAATCAAAACAAAACAACAACAAAAAATATGTTACATTACCTCCCATGACCAACAGCATCAAAGGGAGAAAGAAAATCAAGAGAAGCATTAAGATGAGCAGCAGCTTGAGCTCCAGCAGAAAAGAACCTAGCTGAAACTATCTTCCCATTACAAGAACTCGACGGGAAACGAGGACCCGTCTCACAAGCACCGCAAAACCGACTCGAATTCGAGCAAACTAAGCTAGTGTTGATGAATAAGTCATTATTAGCAAAGCTTGGATGAAAAGGGTTGATCCCAGAATCAACAAAACCTATTACAATCCCTTCTCCTGCTTTTTTGTCACCTCCTTTTTCATCAAACCATAAATTTTGTGGCAAATTTAGGAATTTAGGAGTGTAAGTTGTCATTAACTTTACACCCCTATCTCTTTGCACCAACTTCACTCTAGGGCTCTTTCTTAGCTTCTCTGCCTATTTTATTTATTAATTAAACAAAGTAAATCATTCAAATAAAGTCAAATAAATTATAGGATGTTTTTTAAGGCACAATATAATTGATACACACATTTTAGTTTATCTTTTGCATATAAGAATATTATTGTGCATGAAAAAAATGTTACTTTTCCTCAAAAAAAAAAAAAAAAATGTTACTTGTATGATTTTTAAAAATATGATTGAAAGAGAAGGGGTGATTAGAGAAGTATGAACCTGAGAGGGAGTGGTGTGGACGGCAAAACCGTTAGCAAGATGGGTGAAGCTATGGAGTTTGTTGTAGGTTCCGGAGTCTAGGGTGCTCTGGAGGAGTTGGTTTTGAGACTTCTCTAAAAGCTTTGTATGTTGTTGGTAAGCTTCACTGAAAATTCATGCAAAAATGAAAAAGGAAAATCATCATAGATCAATTTTTTTTTTTTTGAAACAAATCAATTCATTAATAAAAAGGCATACGACATTTACAAATGAAATCTAATTAACAAATAGATAGAATTGAATCAAATAAGGTTTTTCTTCATCAAAACTACGGTTAATTAATAATAAATTAAATAATGAAAAAGGCATAATTCCAAAGTGATGAAATGCCAAAAAAAAAAAGAGAGAAACTAATTAATGTTTAATGTCCTTGTTAATTTGTTATTATTTAATTTAGATATTAACTTTGAGGTCCTTGACTCACAATAATATTTGGCTTTTGTAATAAGCTAAGTTATGGTCGATTTGCATGCTAAATAATTGGCAGGAGGTAGTAAAAGTTTGAAGTGAAAAAGGTGGTAAATAAATAAAATAAAATAAAGAGGAAGCCCCAGTTTCTCATTGTGATAAACAAAATTTGTTTCACGTGACATTTTTGTAAATAAACCAACTTTATTCAATTGTGGAGCCCATAATAATGAAAAAGTTGTTGATTAATTCACAAAAATGCCCCCCCTAGAAACAAATTTCATTTTTCACTATGGGAAACAGGGAATTTCCCATAAATAAAAAAGGAAAGGTATACAAGAAACAAAGGGAGGGTGATGATAAAAGACAAATTATTACATGCATCTAGGAGCATCGAGAATAATGTTTTCGGTGATGCATCCAATTTGCGTAATAAACATGGTGAGGTTGACATGTGTTACAGTTAACTCTTATGCGGGACATATCATGTGTTACAATTAACTATATAGGCATAATTAAAAGCTTTTTCCAAAAAAAAAAAAAAAAATCTAATGATTTTAAATTATAGAGAGTATTACTTCGTATTAAATAATACTTCATATGAGTTTACTGGGTTATTTTCTTTACAGCCGCACATACACATTAATACAAGAAATGAGATGAGAGTAGATTGTTTTGAGTACTAGAACGTCTACAAGTCTCATATTCTAATTTAATCTTCACGCGATATCCTTTCTTCATTAACATATAAACCAAATAAGATGTAAAGATATCCTTCCTATTTAAAATTTATATATAAGTAAACATGTTTTATTAAACTCCTACAAACCAACCTGTTAGGATAAAACCTCGTTTCTTCATTATAAGATTTTTCATCAAGAAAAGCTAATGAATCACCTTCAACCAAAATAATGTACAAAGATCTTTCTTGTTTAGCATAGGAAGGAGATATAGGACATGGTTTTAATATGATGATTAGAAAAAATAGGCAAGGCAAGACAATAACCAAGGTAAACAAAGACAAACATTTCATGGTTTTCATTTTTTTTTTTTTTTTTTTGAGGGATATAAATTATTGAATCAACTTGAAATTTCAATTTAATGTAGTGAAATGACTAAGTAACCACCATCACATTTGTAATGTGAATAAAGGAAAATATATAGGAAATGGCCGTTTTTTAATTTCCTTTTAGTATAGCTTAAGCATGATAATAATGAGAAGTTTTGGAAGTTTTCTAAACTCCCTTCAAAACCATGATCAATACGTTATTATAAAGTGTAAGGGGAATTAATGGTTAAATTCCCTTTTTTGAATGATATAATAATGATAATGATTTGTAAGGAATTAAATTATTGGACTTAATTATGTTGATTTGTTACTTAATTTATTGATCTTTGTAGGTTTTTTAGGAAAGCAAGATACAATAAGGTGTCCTCCACTCAATACCTAGTTCTTATTTTCATGAGTTCAACAAATTGCTTAAAGGAGAAATGTTGACAATTACTTTACTAATTGTTCCAATAAAATATGTTTTTGTAATTTTACCCTTTTTTTTTTTTTTTTTTTGAGAAAGGTAATTTTACTTTCTTAGGCACATAACCGGCAAGGTAAATAGAATTTATATTTCAATTTAAAATATATATGAAGTATTTTTTTTTTTTTACAAGATATACGAAGTACTTAATCACAAAAAGATTGTAATTGAAATAATAACCAAAACTTGCTAACTAGTACTCCCTAGTCCCTCCGTTGTTTTTTGTTCTAATCACTTTTTATTTTAGGCCGTTCTTTAATGTTCTACATACTTTGCTTTATTCTATTTATGGCATACCCCTTTTACCTTCTTACCCCTTCAATCCCATAATAATTACACTTTTCCATACTCTTTCTCTCTTACTTTATTCACCTTTTTTTACACAAACCCACCCTTATTACATTCTCTCTCTTACTTTATCTTATACTCACTCACATTCTTCAATCCTTATTACGTTCTCTCTCTTACTTTATATAATACTTACTCACATTCTTCAATAATTTAATTTCTTAAATTGCGTATCTATAGTAAGTGAGTAGAACAAAACAGAATGAAAGTAGTTCATAACAAAAGTACGTTCTCTATATGCTTGATGAATTTGTTCATTGTTGTTTGGTCATCAAACACTTCTTCTGTTCACTTAGTTGCATTATTTCTTATTTCATGGTCTCCATTTCACTTGTTTGACCGTGAACATTTCAAGTTGTACATTAGTCTAAAATTGTTGGAAAAATCATGGATTACATCCTTCAATTTGGACAATTTTCAACTTTTATACGATCGAAAGTAGAAAAGGAGGTTAAGGAGCCTCCCGTGGGCCCCTCGAGACCTTATGAGGTCATTTCAGTGGTTGAAATCGTCCATTTTGCCTTTAAACTAACAATGTAGCGGATTGCAAACACTTCTCCTTTAATAAATTCAAGGCCATTACGAGCGTTTTATATGACCGACTAGTGATCGTATATAGTTTCAAACAACATTATATGAACCCAGGATGTTTCCCTTACCATTACTTGAATTTTCGATACCGGCTCTCGAAATCTCTGAGATTGTTCCGATTTTGTGTATCATAGCCTTCAAATTTGGTTTTCGGAGAACTTAATTTGATCTAATATGGTTATACATTGAGGTGTGTCACAGAGTTCCCAAAAGACACGGGAGGCCTACTTTATACTTGGAACCATTTCATGTATACCTTGGCCCACCCCTCATTCTCATGTCTTAAGATGTCTTAGCTTGGCCTTGTGTTGCTTTACCTTCTCCTCAAGAGGCCTACTTGGTACTCAGAACCATCTCATACATGCCTTAGCTACCCCTCGTTCTCATGTTTAAGATGTCTTAGCTTGGCCTTGTGTTGCTTTGCCTTGGCCTTGTAGCCTTGTGTTGGCAATTGCCTAACTTTGCCTAAGTCATGTGGCAAGTCAAAACGCTACCCTTGCCTTAGTCCTGTGGCAAGTCAAAACACTACCCATAATCACCTTTGGGATAAGGTGTTTTGATGTGTGTTGGTTTGGTAGTGTCGCCTTGCATCGCATCAGCGGCTATCCCAAATCCCAATGCCTAGGCAGCCCCAAACATAAATATTTTAAGGGATTAGGGTAGAGTGGGATGGATAAATTGTAACGACATAGGGCTAAATCTTAGTGGATTGTGATAAGGCCACTCTCCCCTTGATGTTGGCCCTTCAGAAATCTAAGTCATTTGTAAGGGATTCGATTCAACCAGCATTGTTAGGAATTGAGGAATTGTACAGCAAGTCAGACCTCATGGCACATCTACCACGCAAGCATAGCCTCAACACATGCCCCTAGCAGCCGGCATCTAATGTAGGACAACAATCAGGCGATAGGCACATACAAATAGTTATTGATATATTCAAATCTCACCAATGGAATTTTAGTTAAGAGAAGGTTTTCTTAACGCCGTAACTTTAGATTAAGCGACGAACTGCCCCTTAAGATCCCAAAGAACACTAGAATTTGGATTTAAATTGGGTGATTAAACATTAATGGAAAGATTTTGCTTCCACTATTTTTTTATTTAAATACAGAATACGGTGGATATTTGAAATTAAAAGAAAATCCGATAATTGTTTCAATCAAAAACTCAGCTTGACATTCAAGGGAGGAAGGAATCACAGAACTAATATATTCAGAAAGGAATTGTTAAGCTATCCAATTACACACAACTAAATAATTTCGTTTGTTTCCTTCCAATCTTCTTCAGCTTTGCTCATCCTGTGACTTCGAGCCAGATTGCTAACTAAAACCGGAGAGCTTAGTTTACTACATTTATGCCTAAATTTCTACCTTCCAGGCAACATACCTGAAGGCTGCATCAAAAAACCAGAAACTTTACCTTACTGAACTAATGCCGAACTTCCCCATTTGTTAAATGGTTAAACAATGATATCGCCCATCAGAAAGAAGACTTGGCACTAGCAGCAGAAAATCTGGCACCGAAATTGATCAATTCAACCATGGCTAGAGGAGCCTATAACTGAATTATCCTTCTGCACAGGATTTTAAATTACAGAGAAGTCATACATGCATCCGCTCAGGGGCACAAACACACAGAAAATTACAGCCCCAGGCTAGTTTTGAGCACAAGCATGGCATTAAGTTCACAGCTGACAATACAACTCTCACAACACAGTTAGTTCTACAAGGTGACTTCAAAGTTCGGCTAGAGTAAGACAACGCAAACTCCAGGTTTGTAGATCACCTCCTAGGATCTTATCTCTTTCTCCGCTTGTTATCAGGCTGCAAAAGAAAACTTTGCAAAATGAAATCTAAGTACAACAGAATAGTTACATGAAGTGCAAAAAGTGGAAATTATTAACAGAAGTCAACAGCTTCAGACTGGAATGTTATTATCCCTTCAAGAAAAATGATGGATTGATGCTCCAACCAAAACAAGTTAAGGACCTAAAGATATGGAGCAAATGTCTATAGTCCAAGAATTGATCTGGATCACTCAGAAAATAACCTTGAAATATGTTTCAGTCTTCGAATATTAAATTTGTAAGAGTTCTGCAGACTAAATGGCGCAGATTCAGTCGTTAAATATCAAATCGCATATAAACTACGAATACTCCTAGACCAGATATTATTAGAGACACAAAGTGGACTATATCCAGTAATAAAAGGCATAAGGAAAAATACTAAGTGTTTAGCAAGAGAAACTCTGATGCATCACAGGCAAACAAATTGATCTTTAAACCACATACAATATCAAAATCAAACACATCAAATCAATAAACCAATTCAAGCATACAAAGAAAACAATGTAAGCAATAATGATATCTATTTATAAGCAAACTTGTACTTTGGTACCCTGTTTCTTACATGAACATAGCTACCCAGGGACACTGGGGCATGATAAGAACAAGTAACATTTCATCAATAAAGCCACAAATATTGCAAACTAGATTAGTAACAAATGACAGCTTCTTCACCAACTAGAGATTGAAAGTTGTCCAATGTAGTACTATGTAATTGCTGTTACATCACCAGCAAATTAAAAAGAGCAAGACAGTAAGTATAATCTAGGAGTAAAGAAGAATGAAGCCACTGCCAAAGCCCAAGCTCAGTATGCCAGCTTAACACTAAAAACAAACCTTAACCCATCAATGGCTGCAGATTTCAACTGCAACCAGTGGGACTTAAGATAAGTAAGAACTTTCATCTACCCAACATGAATCAGACATTAATGATCATCTATTCATGCATGCAAAGACTAAGAAAGTGTGAGCAAACACAAGCAAGATGAAGCCCTAACATCACAAGGCAGAACTTTTCACCTTGCCATCAGCTAGCGGTGATGCAGAGAATGAGTTGCCCCCTTTCTTCGGATCATCTTCAGCAGCACAATCTGAGCATAAAAAGTGATCCAACTTCTTTGCTTCTTCAATAGTCATGCCCATGCAAGAAGGATGGAACCTACATGAATCTTAAATCATTAGAGTGACAGCGAATTTCATCCTCAACTACATCTAATTGTCCTTTACTAACTAAAAGAACAAGCTAATATACGCATCACCTAATTACAATAAAAAGAAGATTGAAATTCAGAAGAGCAAACAGCAAGGCTTTTACAAGAACTAGTGCTAGTGCTAATACCATAATGCATCTAGTAGAAAAAGATCAAGCTAAGATCAAGCAAAATCAATGCTCCATGCAAGATTTGAAAAAACAAAACAAAAAACAGGCTGGTAGAACTCATAGCTCTGGTGACAGAGCATATTCAATTTGTATACCAAAGTTTCCAAAGAGTATAATCCCGCAATTATCAGGAAATACTGTATGGTATTTGGTCGAATTTGGAGAACCCAGGCATCACGTCAAATCCAAAACTCCAAAGATAAGCATATGGATAGTACTTCTGTGAATAATGCAGCATTGAATAACCATATCAGGCATGAAAGAGATGGTAGCCAGCAATTTCAAAAAAAAATCTACTGTAAAATATCAAGACCTAAGTCACGTCTCATATTACCAAATAAAGCATTTTCTATGTACAAAAAGGTTCTTAAACAGGGCTGCTTAAAAGTTAATAAGCGGGAAACAACAAATCATCCTTCATACAAGCATATGCCTAAAAACACTAGCAAAAACAAGGAATGAAGCCACGCATTCTCTAATAAGCCATTCTATAGCGATAACACAACAAATCATCCCTAAATAGAAACATAATCCTAAGAAAACAAGCTGAATCACATAAAAACGAAATGCTGCAAAACTAAACCTTAATTAAGAACTTACCAGTCCTTACAGCCCTCACATTGCACCATAAGATCATCGGGATTATACGGCATTTCACACTTGCAATACCTACAAAACACAACACCCACCAAAAACAAACAACCACCCAACAAAACCAAATCAAAACCAACATCAAAAAACACAAAACCCAACTCAAATTCACCTCAAAATTCCAAACCCACCCAACCCCTCCCCTATCGAAAAAACCGAAAGAGACGAAGTCAAACTCACACAGCAACACGATCAGGAGTAAAAGCACCAGTGGCAGCCTTATACTCAAATCTACAAAAGTAATCATCAGCCCCAACATTCTCAAGCTTAGTGTAGTTCTTAAATGAGTGAACAATACACTTCCCTTCAATTGTATGAGCACTTTGTACATCATGGTGGTCAGACAAGAACAATTCTTTAGCACCATGAAACTGTCTTCTTCCTCCCATAGATTCTTCAGGTCTATAATACCATCTAACCCTAACTTTCACATTGTTCCTGCTATCAGCTTCAATCTTTTCAACACGAGCAACATAGGGTGGTTTGCCCACATCAGCAGGTCTCATCAAAACACAATCTCCAACTTTATAGAAACAAAAAATTCAATACAAAATTGAACAAAATTAATCAATTGAAAACAAGATAAACCCAGATATTTAATTTGATTATACAAAAAGGGTTTTGATGGGATTTTTGTACTTACCTCGGACGACCTTGTTGGTGCCTTTAATAGTGTATGAATCAAGGTCCCGCTTTCCTGGGCGAGTCTTCGCCATTGGAGAGAGAGAAAAGAGGGATTGAAGAAGAGAGAAATGGGGGATTTAAGGAGAAAATGGAAGGCGCAAAAACCCTAGATTTTGGGGGAGAAAACCCTAGAGATTGAAGGTGTTCATGGGAAGAAGAAGAGGAGAGAGAAAGTAACTTTTTTGACTTGGGATTGAGAGGAGAGTGTGGGGAATGACTGACGGAGTGAGGTGAACGATCTAACTATAGCCACAAAACACACTCCCAAAAATAATTTTTTTTTTTAAAAAAAAAAATTTAACTTGAATGAATTTGAATTTTTTTACTTTCTTGTAAGAAAACATGTGACCAAAATAAATGAATTACAACCACCATTAATGGAGAAAAGAAATTAGTAGGGGAGGGGTGGTTGTGGGACCAAATTTTGACTTTCAAAAATAGGTAGAAAATCTTAAAGGATACACTAGTGTAAAATGTTATTCTCGACTTGAAAAAAAAATAAATAAATTAAGATGTTAATTGACTTGGTTAATTAGTTGAATCGAAATTAGATTTCGTTGAATTTAGGTAGACTAGTCAGCTGGATTTGATGATTTCTAATGAGTCGATTTCAAGTTGAGTTGTCAAATCGGATATTTCAGATGAGTTCAGGGCGACGTTTCTCAAATCATGTGAGATTATTCTGTGATCGTGTTTGGTGAGTAGGAATGTGAGATATCGAATTTGATAAAGTTATCCATACAAGTAGAATTAATTTTGGCAATCCTAAAGGCATAACAATCAATAGTGGATTCAATATTGATACCCTAATTTAGATTCAAACTATGATCAAAGTTGTACTTTGGTTAAAGTAGAAACTTAGTGAAGCCCAAACAAAAATTAAAGGCCCAAGAGAGGCTAATATATTATTTGGGCTTACATAAGTTTATCAAATATAAATCAAAATTTGTTATGAGCATATATTTACAAGCAAACCAAGCATGATTGGCAGAGAGAGTGAGGAGGAACTCATCTTGACACTCTTATGAGTTATGATTTTCCTATGCTACAAGTTCAAGCCCCACTATCTAGTCATCTACATATGCTTAGGAGTAGAAGATTATTTTTCTTTTACCTCTACCATTGAGCATCTAACTTGCGGTAAAAGTTAGTTAAGTTAAAAGTACAGCTCAAATTCAAAGTCTATTCCAATTAAATGGATCAATTGGATTAGGCACAGTACTTTTAAATAAATGGGTTTAAAATAAGTTTATATTGAGAGTGATTAGATTAAAACAAGAACAACCCGAAATTATGAAATTCTCTAAGTCATAATGTGTTGGTTTTATTCTAAAAGACTCATAATTGGTCATACTTTCTTTGTTCACTTTGACTTTTGCGCTCTTCATATAATAATAGTCATGAAAATTTTCTTTATTACACTGTATTATATTATAAAAAGTAAGAGTCATTTTATAAGATGTTGTTAGTGTTACAGTACTAAGTAATTGTCAAACTTATATATTAACAAACGTGAAAATTAAAGTGATATTCATCCGTTTGTAAATAATTGACACTTTTGACTTTTTTTTCACTATTAATATACTAATTTTGACCATCGTTTTTTAATAACATATAAAAAATAAATTTTATCATGAAATATATCGTTAAATAGGTTTTAATATTACTTTTCATAGTATCAACTTTTTAATAATTTTTACTAATACTTAATCATATACCTTAAGGTCAAATTATTGCATTCACATGTGTATCTGCAAGTGAGATTTTTTTATTTTTTTTTAAAGGTAAGAAAAATTAATCATTAGGAAGCCCTCCTACATGTATATCAAATATGACTGTGTTAATTATTCATAAATGGAGGAAATACAATTTATATACTTGTAAAGTAGATGAACATAAATATAGAAAAAAATATATATATATTTTATTTGTTCACTATGAGTTGGTTGGGTGCTAATTATGCCATATTGCAGCATTCACATACGAGAAAAATTTATTTACCTTAAAGGGGTATATTTGTCATTTTAGCTAATAAAATGGGGTTAAAATTGTAAAATTGTCTAGAATATCATTGTATTCAAGCAAAGTCTTGAATCTCATATTGAAACATTGGGGCTTCCTCTTCACATACTCTATCCATTTATTTTGAGTGCACACAAATAATTGTTTTGCACATTTTAGAGGGTGGTCGATGAAAGATCCTCGTGCAGGTCGTGCAACACAGAACTCATCTTCTAGGAAAGTGTATGGTTTACCACTTTACCATATGTCACAACTCACAACAATCATCTTTAACTCTTTACTTATTCCATAAATTACACTTCGTATTTCCATAAATTATATTTCCACTCATCTTTATACTTCGTATGTTTATTGCTGCCTTGCTTTATTTAACAACTTTATCCTTCCAATTGGAATTTTTACGAGTGCTTCTATAGTATTACATTACATGTATTAATAAATTAACAAAATTTATAGTACGTGCGACCAACAAACTATTTAGTCCTCTTCTGTTTTGCTACTTCTTGATACAACCTTTTTGAGGCTCACATTGATTAACATTGTTTTGAATCTCTTAAATTAAACTATAGTGAATTTCATATGAATTTATAAACAATAATAATTAGTGAACATTTACCTATATAAAATGCTCGTAAAACAGTCTATTACATATTGTAAATAAAACTAACAATTAATTCAAATTAGACCATGTTATCATGTAATATCCCAGTCAATGAAACTAAGTTGTAATTAAGCTTGTTCATGAACTATACCTCATCGCTGGATGGTCATGTTTCGTTCACCTTATTGTCACTTATTTCTAGTGTAATAAATTTTTATAAGTTCAGTCAAGTTCAATTCAAGGAAAATAAGTTTTGATAAGAATTACCCAAGTACAAATTAAAACTAAAATAAGCTTTAATAAGGTTTAATAAATTCAGGTAAGTTTAGATAAGATAAGATAAGTTCAGATAAGTGAAAATCAAGTGAATAATACTCCCTCCGTCCCTTATATTCGTGCTTATATAAACTTACTAAACCTGAAATAAGTGATAAGATGTTGTGTCCCCATCGCTGGATGGTCTGTCCCCTTATTTTTGTGCCTATTTCTCAAAAAACTCAAAGAAGAAGATAGGGATAAGATGTTGTGTTTATTTCTAAAAATATCACATAATTATATCATAATCCATACAACTTCTTACCTTTCTCATACAAAATACAAATATATCCAAAAAAATCATTATATACTTTATATTTTTTGCTTACAATATTCTCTACTTTTTATTATTCTCATACAATTTTCTCTACTTTTTATCTTTTACATACAATATTCCTTTATTCTTTCCATTATTCTTCATTCTCGAGTTTTTTGACAAATAGGCACGAAAATAAGGGGACAGAGAGAATATATCATAATACATCTAGTCTAACAAAAGTATAATTACGGAGTAATAAGCATGTGAGACTAAATGAAGAGAACGAATTTGTAATCCCTACCTTATCCTTATCTTCTTCTTATAAAAAGTTAAACAAAACTCTTATGAATAGTGCATAGAAATTTATATCCATAAAAATGTTCTTTCCCTACCTTATTAAAAGTTTAACAAAATTCTTATAAATAGTGCATGAACATTTATATATCTAAAAATATTCTTTTACATATTTGCCTCAATTTGATTTCAAAAGATTTAAACTGTCTCTTTACTTTCCCCAATTGATTTAAAAAGCTATGTTTATTTCAATTTAAAGCCACCTTTTACTCTCTCCATTTCTTTTTGTTTTAAATTTCCTATTTAGAATTTATTAGACATTTACATTTCTACATAGAATTCAATATCTTTTTACCATTCAGTCACTAAGCCCCTATTTAGTTCACCTTATTTTTGTTTATCTGAACTTATCTTATCTGGTCTCATCTAATCTGATCAGATCTTATCTAGTCTGGTCTGATCTCATCTGATTTATTGCCTGATTTGACCAAACTTTGACCTTAAGTGTACGATAATTTGTAAGAAAAAAAACATATCAAGTAAGATCTTGTTAGATTCGTAATAATATGTATTTTATTAATATGTAATTTTTATAATTTTTTTCATTACGAAATTAAATATATTTAGCGATAAAAAATTGCACATTAAAAGATGATCTAATCATAACTTTTTTTTTAAATAAGTAAAAATCAGTTGAACTAATCAAGGCCTAAATCAAAAGTAGCTCAACTAAAGTTTTGAACATTGCACAACTACACAACATCTAACACATTTATCGTCTATATGCAAATAGTTTTAATAAAATATTACAAAAACAGGCATATCGCATCCCGCACCCACGAGGGGAATTTATAACCCATCAGAGGAGATAATAGGGTACAATCGCGACCATGAAAGAGCGCCTGCGCAAGTTAGACGCGCCCGCGCAAGTTAGACGCGGCCGTGCAGAGACCGCGCCTAAACCGCGCACCTCTCTGGAAATTGGCAAATTGGAAGGGTGAGATGGCGCGCCCGCGAGTCCTGGTTGGCGCGCCCGCGCTGCTGGTCGCGCTTAAACCGCGCCCCTCACTGTCTTCCTTCAGAAATTTCGCAGTTTTCGTGAGGAGCGCCCGCTCCTCCTTGTGGCGCGCCCGCGCCACCTGGCAGTTGCGATATCGTTTGTTCTTTTAATTGCGAAATTAAAAGAAGAACGAAAGTTTTGGTTTTTTGCTCTCTGATTTCCTCTCCAATATTTCACTTTTCTTCACAATTTTCTCTAAGAAACTTGCAATCTCTTATAGAAATCTCTATCAATTAAGTTAATTTTTGAGAATTTGATCATCTTACTACAATTCTTAGTGCAAAGATTGTAGTGTTGTCTATTGTATCTCAAAGTGACTTTCCGGTTTCAACCCAAGCACCGTGGTGGGGGAAATAATCACTTTAGGAAAGTGTTTACACGCCTTAGACAATTATCCGGCATTGAAGACTCACGTGGTCCATTGTATTCTCATGTTCTTGGTGAATTCATTGGTTTGGAGTAGAGACAAGTTTTAGTATCTTTTACATTAGAGTTTTTCTTGTAATTTTCTGATTACTTTGATATTTTGGTGCTTGGATTGTAATACTTTAACTAGTATTGATTATTGTATAATTTGATTGAATTATACACTACATAGGTTTTGCTCCACGAATTTTAAGTAATTCCTATTGTGTAGAATTGCTGAAAACCTAACAATCTAAAGTGATTATTTAGAATCATGTCTAGTGTGAAAGAACTTACCACTAATTTTGTCAAACTCAAAAAGTTTGATGGTGTGGAATTTCGACGTTGGAAGAAGAAAATGTATTTTCTTCTACTTTGTTGAAGGTTGCCTATGTCATTAGTACTCCTAGGCCTGTAGAACATGAGAATGAAACAATGGAAGATGTTCATGAGAAATCAAAGTGGGATAATGATGACTTTATTTGTCGGGGTCATATTCTTAATGGGGTGGAGGACGACTTGTTTGATATGTATCAACATGTTGAGTCTGCTAAGGAATTATGGGAGTCTTTGGAGAGAAAATATATGGCGGAGAATGCTTCTAGCAAGAAGTTCCTTGTAAGTAATTTCAATAATTTTAAGTTTGTTGATAGTAGGTCCATCATGGATCAATTTCATGAGATACAACGTATTCATGGTAATTTGAAACAACATGGAATTAATGTTGATGAACTATTTGTTGTTTCAAGTATCATTGATAAGCTACCTACTAGTTGGAAAGATGTTAAACATGAACTAAAACACAAAAAGGAGGACATATCGTTGTCTGATTTGGCTACCCTTCTTCAAGTTGAAGAAGGGATTAGGGCCATGGAGAATGCTAAGGATGAGAATCCTAGCACTTCCACCATTAATGTGGTGGAAGAGGGTAAATCTAGTGCTTCACTAGTGGAAAAAGGAAGAATGTGAATTCTTCCAAAGGAAAGTCCAAGAAAAAGAAGGACAACAACAAGTTTGCTTGTTGGGAATGCGGTAAAACTGGACACCGCAAGAAGGACTGCTACATTTTTAAGAAGAAAATGGAGTAATCCAAGGAGGGCCATGCTTCTAGTAGCAAGGACCCAACTGTCAAAGGTAATCCTTTACATGAGGTTGAATTTAATTCCGGTATGGATTTAAATGCAACGGATCCTAACATTTTTATGGTACAGGATGATGACTCATAGTGGATGGATTCGGGGGCTTCAAGGCATGTATGCAAGGTGAAGCATTGGTTCAAAACCTTTCACAAGGTTGTTGATGGAGAAGAGCTCTATATGGGGAACAACTCTTCCATCATGGTCCAAGGAAGAGGACAAGTTGAGCTAATGTTCAGTTCGGGCAATGGTATCATTCTTAGGGATGTACTATATGCTCCAGATATCTTTAGAAATCTTGTATCAGGCCCTACCCTGAATCGACTTGGATATAAACTAGTATTTGAAGCAGATAGATGTATTATTATTAGAGGTAACACTTTTGTTGGACGTTGTTATTTAACTCACGGATTGTTTAAACTCTCGTTAAGAGAGAAGTTTGTAATGATGGATGATGTTTGTTTTAATGTTGATAATGACAATGGTGTGAATTTGTTTTATTTATGACATTCTAGATTAGGTCATGTTAATTTCAATAAGTTGAATTTCATGTCTAAACTAGAGTTAATTCCACCTTGTGATATTTCTTCTAATAAATGTTCTACTTGTATGTTGAACAAGATCACTAGAACTCCTTTTAAGAGAGTTGAGAGAAGTTCTAATATTTTAGAACTGATCCATAGTGACTTGTGTGATTTTCATAGTACTCCTTCTTTGGGGAACAAAAGATACATGATTATTTTTATAGATGATTTTTCTAGGTTTTGTTATGTGTATCTTTTGCATTCCAAAGATGAAGCTTTGACAAAGTTTGATATTTTGGTGCTTGGATTGTAATACTTTAACTAGTATTGATTATTGTATAATTTGATTGAATTATACACTACATAGGTTTTGTTCCACCAATTTTAAGTAATTCCTATTGTGTAGAATTGATGAAAACCTAACACAAAGAGTAAGCCCATGTTATCACTAACAAGATGACCTACATTTGCGATCTAATCTGCTGTTTAGTGCTCTGTACAAAAGAGTATGGAGTAGTTTACACATGGTCACGAGCCACAACAAGCCAACAATGCAAGTCTTAAATTACGCTCAAAACTACGAAATACTCCATAATCGCTTAAAAAGTGGAAAATATAGTTCAATTTGCGAATTGAAGCGTGTAATTGTGCAATATTACGTGACAGATAATGAGTAAAAATATTTTGCAATTATCAATGTAGATTTACTTTTACTGTCACCCCATGCATGCATTAACCTGCATAACTTTTCCTTCTAAGCAAACCTCACATTTGATTTAGACAACTCAAATTTGCCAACAATAGACATAGAAATTTGGTTCAAATACTTGTCTTACAAGTTACAATCTCAATAAAACTACACCTGACACTCTTTAAAGAAGCCGTTTTTATAAGCACATTTTACATTTCTAATTCTACATGCCAAGTTAGGAAAGAGTCGGGTAGCTCAGATTGACCTATGCAAAGTTCCGACACAAATCAAAGGGTATAAGAAAAACACATAATCAAAAAGGAAGCTAGCATGCCTCCATAATAATTAATGTAATATAATCTCTAGATTCTATCATATATATTCATAATAATAATACATACTCAAACAATAGGAGTACTCCGTGATTCTAACTCAGCTAGCAGTACACTATCATATGATAATGAGCCATATCATATCATCTAAGTGGTTCGGATCCATAATCGAACGAGTTTAATTAAGCACAATAAATTATAAAACTCTCAATAACATAACCATTAACTACGCAGAGATCAGAAGCGACAATATAATATAATTGTCGATGACCATGATTTTGGCCATTACATAAGAGTTGGGGAGACGTCCATGGGAAAAGGGTTCCCTAGGACGTTGTCCATGTAACCGTAGTGAGAATGAGCATGGGAGTGTGCAGCAGCATCCATTACCACAAATTGCATGTCCTCCGATGGCTTCCAATGCCTTTTCCTTTGGTTGATGAACCAATTGTTTATCTGCTTTTGGTCCAATCCTGTTGATTCAGCCAACGCGAGCTTCTGGGACTCCTACGATTCGCAAATGAACCAATACACGACGTTAGATTAAGTCAAGTCAAGACAAAAGAAAACAAGGAATTAGCTAAACAATGGGTTCCTCAATTTTCATATGATTTAGTCGTTACCCGGTTTCCTCTCAATAATCAACCCTAAGTTTCCTGTTATAAGAAAGCGACTATGTAGTATCCTGGCAAGTATACAGAGAAGAAACACGATGACAAATAAATCACAAACACGTTTTATGCTGGCTGTTGAATATGATGTTACGTACCGATCCCTCGATGTGGACTAAAAGGAAGACGATTCCTAGGAGGAATATGTTAGGGTAAACTTAGATAAACATGAACACCTTATTGAGAAGGAAAGGAGTGATAATGTCTATCGCGGAGTCAGAAGGCAGAAGAAAATGTAATAAGAGAAAAACTCGGTACACCAAGACCAAGTAAAATTATTCTCCCTTAAATGTCTTCATAATTCAAAATGTCCTAAGAATTGAACTTGAACCCAATACAACAAATGTGTAAAGCGAGCTGCTTAAACAAATTAGAGAGCTAATCATGCACCAAACCAACGATTATGAAGTTATGTATTGAGTTATACATGGACAAATCCAATGCATACAATTGAAACAAAGCCAATGCTTAGATTTCAGCTAGTTGTACTTTGCTCATATTTTCATAAATCACTTATTAATGTAGGATCAATTATATGTAGCATGTACGAGTAATTTGAACACGAAAAGTGGCAAGTAACGAAGTAGACAAGAATGTAACGTACTGATGGATATGGCCATTTGTAGTGTCTACTCCACCAATCAAGCAATTGTTGCCTGGCCTCCTTTGGAAGCTTTCCCTTCTTCCTCTTCTTCAAGAACTCTTGCCTCAGACTTCCCAAATATCCACTATACTTGCGGAGCAGTTGGCCTTTCAATTCCCTGTCTTCTTCCGAAGGATCAATAAAGTTATTGTTCACGTCAATGTCTTCTTCAGACGATCCATTTCGATCAGGAATCTCCCCATAAGCTGCCATAAAAACATTTTGCATCACGAAAGAAGTTCCAAAAAATGAGAATGCTTTTTTTAACATCTAAACCAAGCACATGTAAATAGGGATGATATATGTACATAATTGGCAATATGTTACCCGAAAAGGCCACACAACAAATAGATATCAAATAAAGCCATGAAATGAAATGCTTCACAAAAATTATATTGATATAACACATGGAGATATCAATTTGAATGTTATGACTAATACAATAAACAAACAGACAAGACATGCAACAAAAAAAATAAAAAAATAAAAAAAACCTCAGTGTGCTACCGAAAGCTATCATTTCAACTCAAATCTACATTTGATAGTTTACAAGATATTTGATCTGACAACATTTATGACATTTGGTCTTCAATTCTTCATCCTAACGTGATTAGGATGTTAGAAACTCGGCACATCATTTTGATATGAGACACTTGTGTGTTTCAATTAAACCAAAATCTATAAAAGCAAAACTTATTCAAAAATGACCAAATTAAAACCTAGCTCTCCTCTCCACATATTCTTAGTAGATTCATCATTTCACCCTAAGTACCAATGTTGGAGATTCAACACCGACCAAATTAAGACATTAGCAATTTAGCACGATTCAATTCAACTCAGCGTGGCCGAGCCTAATTCCTCGACACATACCCTATGACAAATAATGTGACATTGATGTAAACAGCTTCCTATAACCTTTAAAACATGTAGCTATTCTTTATTGCATGTCCCACAAAGTTTAAGAAGTGACATAAATTCAGACCATAAAGTCAAAACTGTAAACCAAAGGGAAGCATGAACAAAGTACCCTTATCTATCAGATAGACTAGAATTGTATGCATTAATAATAAGCTACATATCCAGTGCATTCTATACAATTTTGCTGTCACATAGTACATATTATCGAGAAAACTTTTCCAATAAAAACACAGTATACCTAAGATTCCTAGCAGATGAATCATACAAACATACATTCACTGCAGTTTTACCTTAGTTTTTTTGGACTAGAATATCACTAGTCAACTTATTGTCTTCATTATTTTTCCTAGACACCATTTAACTAACACCATATACTTCCTATCTAAAGAAGTAAAAGGATTATTGATGGTTTGAAGGGGGCGAAAAATGTAGGGCGAAAGGGAGTGATAACGAAAAAAAGGGTTGAAGAAATAAATAAAATTAACATAAAACAACATTATCAGCTTCAATGCATGCCATCTTATGCCTTATGGGCTTGGTTCTTATGAATATAATCGTCTTATGTGTTAACGTACAAAGATAAGCTGCACAGAGAATACGATTGAGAGTGAATGATTGACAGAATTATGATTTATTACTAATTTCATAGGGAGCAAGAGAATAGAACCACGAACAACCTAGTAAATAATTGAGAGGAGACTATTATAAAGCTCAAAGAACTTTCAAACAACAATTTGATAACTTGACTTAGCTGTATTGCTGCATGCAGAAATAGGCATGTACTCAAGTTGCAACATACGAGTCCTTTAATTAGCAAAACTAAGGCAATGTTCTCTTTGCATTGCAATATTGCATAGGTGTTAATCCACGTTATATCGTGAAATTTTAGTTTGCCGTGATCTGAATTTAACTATAATCTAATCTTATCTATTTATTGGACTATATTTTTATCGTAAATGTGTCATAACAGTCTAACACCTAAGAAAAACATAACTAAGTGGGGTCTTGTTATATAGAGCAATTTTCCAAACATCTAACTTCAATAATTTATATGGAGTAGCAAAACAAAATTCTAGACATTTGGCAATAAGCAAACATAAATAATAAGCTAGGTATACCCAGGTTTTATTTGAATGTTGCTAGTATGATCTGAAGTGGTCTAATTCTAATAAGAACAAGTAATAAGTATGTAACAAAGTAAAGATAACACAGCCTAAACATGCATGCTAGTGTTAGTAGTGGAATTAGATAAATTACTAAGCAGGCTAAAACAGATAGCAATCTAATAACTTTTACCGTGATCTGAACATGTATCTGGAGCAATACCAACAATCAAAAAGCCGTAAGTTCACTTAAACCCGTAATGTGTAAAGATGTAAACCATAGCTCCAGCCCTGGGTAGCACTACAATTACAATGCCCACAATGTTTATGCACTAGTTGCCCTAGCAGCTAATGGGATAGAACTTAGAAGATGACTCCAACAGCAAGAATAGCAATACCCGATTAAACCATAGAGACATTACATATACTACTTAGTAATACGGAGTAATTCACAACCAGCAAATGTTAGTTCAAGTAACAAAGTAGTAGAATAAGGTAGACTTCAAAATAACATTGATCCCAACACATCTTAATTCATGTGCCATATTCATCAAAATTTTAGACATCTCTATTTCTTGTAATTTAATCTAAGAGAATATTTTATTGTTGTTAAAACAAAAAACAACTTGTTAAAATAAAAACAACAAAAAATTTGGTTTGTTTAAAGAGAAACACATTGAGAAGATTCTACAAAAACATCCCTTGGGGTTATTCATTACCAGAATGATTTAAAGTTGTAGAATAGATTAAAAATATTCAACAACAATCCAAAACAAAAGCATTAACAATATATAAAAAATATATATATATATATCATAATTAGCCATACATATGGGCCAATAATGTAAAAAAAAAAACCCTATTTCCAACAAGACATAAATAAAATAAACAAAGATTCAATAATTCAAGATCCATAATCATTCTGATGATGAGAAAGAATTTTTCAAAAAATTTGTGAAAGTTCCAAGATCTTATCTTGGAAACATGCACCATGCACAATTAAAAAAAAAAAACATAAAAATAATTGAAATCAAATCAATGCAAAAGATATACAAAATCATCAAACTCAAACAATAATCAACCAAATTCAAAACCACTTGTTCAAAAATTAAAAATAATCTAGAGAGAGAAAATTGTAGAGATTTAGAGAGAGAAAGAGACATCACCAGAAGAGGGAGAGTCTGAAGGAGAGGAAAGAGTTAGGGCTTTAAATTGACATTCAATCCTTGATAAAAAAAGCATAGCTTCTTTAAAAGGTTTGGTTAATTCTTGCTCATATTTTGTGAGCATCTCACAATAAGCTTCCATAAATTGATCCAAAGCTGGATCTTCTCCTATATATCCTCCTCCGCCTCCGCTTCTTCCTCCTCCTTGATTCATTACCATTGCCTCTGCCTCCTCTAGCCTTGCCACCACTTCCGGTGGCGCTCCGACCTACAATTCCCAAAAAAAAACAAAAAAAATAAAAAAATACACCCCATATTAAAGATCAAAGCTTTCACTTACTTTGAATTTTTTTTTTTTTTCTAAATTTGAGAGGACTTTTTTTTTATTTCTTAAAGTTCACGTATAAATTACATGCACCTCAATAACATTTGTATCTTGCAAAGCTTTAAACTTTCTCAAAGATCAGAGGGTTTGAGGGTTAACTTAGAAAATTATGTGAATAATCTTGAACAATACTTGTTCAAATTTTGTTTTGTTTTGCTCTTCCCCTTAGAGGTTTTATGATTAAAACTCCCTCAATTTAAAGCAAATTTTAAACACCAAACAAAGATCAAAACTTTCTCCAAGCCTTTTTTTGTTTTTCTGTTTTTCACAAGAGAATTTTGAGTGTTTCATTAAAATTGTAAAGTATTCAAAACATTTCAAAAATTAGGTTATTTGGTGATTAAACTTCCCTAGCTTAGCTAAATCTTCAAAAACCCTTCAAAGATCAAAACTTTCTCCAAATGATTATCTTAACCCTTTATATATAATTGAAATTACTATTTTTATTAAAAAATAAAAATCCAAAATGGGTTTTAAAACTCTTTTGTTTTTTCTTCAAAATTGGGTGTGTATTTTAATCCTTTAAATAATTTCATTCCAAAAATCATTTCAACTCAAAATTTGTCAAAATGACAAAGTAATATTCAAAGAGGAGAGAGAAAGAGAAGTTTATTTTACCTTTTGACAGCTAACAAAGGCAGATAAGAGACGAGGATAATGAGGATGAGACATAATCTTAGCCTTAATATTCCCACCTGAACTACTACTTCCATCACTACCATTGTTGTTACTTCCATTATTATTATTATTATTATGAATATTCTGATTTTGATGATGATGGTTACTCTCCATCACATGATGATGATGATGATGTTGATGATCATCAACATCGTAACTTCCAACAACACCATTAGAAGAAGAACAACAACAAACTTTGTTGCTATTGTTATGATGTTGATGATGATGATGATGAGAAAGAGATGGTTGCATCATAATCATAGGATACAACCCATTACTATTATTCTCCATTCCCTCCATTCTTTTTTGTTTTTTTCTCTCTCCTCTAAAATAAAAATGTATTCTTTCTCACTAAAAATGTGATCTTTAAATAAAAATTGGATCTTTATAATAAAAATTTGATCTTTAATTTATAAGAAGAATTAAAGTAGTGGGTTTTTTTGTTTGATAGTGGGAGTAATAAAGGAGTAAGAATAAGATTTGGGGTAAAAATAAAAAATAAAAGAAGAAAAGGGCAGAGAGAGCTCCCGGAATTTAAGCTTACACAAAAAAGAAACAGGCTTTTTACAGCAAAATCCTATGAAAATAACCCACTGGTTTATTAAGTGATAGTTGTCGTCATCTTTTTCTTTTCTCTTTCTTTCTTTCTTTCTTTCTTCTGAACTTCTTCAGAAACTTTTACTAAACTAAGCAGAAGAGGGGTGATGAAATAATTATGTTTAGCTCTACTCACTTCTTCGAGTATGATGATATATGCGGTTCTTAGGGTGAAGATGGCCGATTTTAAATAAAATGGCGAAAGTAATTACGGAGTACTGTTGTAGGGAGGAATTTTTGTTTGGGTTAGGGAGCAGAGTGCACGCGATGAATGCAGAGGAAGAAAGAGAGAGAGAGGGAGAGAATAGTGTGAAAAATTGGGTTCCCAATGAATAAAAACTCTTGCTAGTTCTCCTTTTCTTTTGTGTTGCAGCAGCAGTGGCACTCAGGATTTCACTGCCATTTTACTGCTCTGCCTAGCTTACACTTTTAAAATCTTTTAATTTAATTATTGCTAAATAAGATTATTTGGAGCACTAAGGAAGTATGAGTAGTACTACGTTAAGTGGTCGTTTGATTAGACGTAAGAATTTTTTTTTCCTTTGTTATTGACATATGCTAGCTTTAATCAATGGGATTATAAAGTAGAGTTTGGTAATAAATTATTGAATTATATTTACTCTTATTATATATGTGGTTAAGGCTTTGATTGATTGATTGATTTGCTCTTACATACCAACAACAAATCATGTAAAAATTGAAAATTTGTGTCTTCAAATGACTGAGGATACTTGAAGAAACCTTTATTTCCCTTTGAATGTATTACCGGAAAACTTGATTATATTGCATCAATTATACTATGACCTAAATGAACGATCACTCAAGCATAGCTCAAGTTGAACGGACTTAACCTAATCCCAAAGTGAACAACCTGTGGACACACTTTTCTTTAAGAACTCTGTAATTATTTATGTTCAATCAAACAACATTATGTACCTTCTTAACAATGAATCATCTGGATAATTATAGTTTATCCAATCCCCTTTTATGTTTACTGGTTATTTACCATGGTAACCCCACCATAATCTTGTCCGCTACGTCATTCTTATCAACCAAACTCCATACAAAACAATGTTATATATGGATCAACTTATTATGAAGTTATATTATGCGACCTTATATTACCAAAACTTACTTTCTTTTATATATTTATTAAGTGTGTCAAAATAAGACCGAACAAGTTGAAATAAACCCTAATATGATCGACATTTTTCATCTTTAGAGAACCCCTAGTTCCCTTTGTGTCAACCAATTGTTTGATCATTAATACCAAGGGTGTTAAATTTTCAAATTAATTATACTAATACGTGTATTTGATAAGTACTTTCTCTATTTTATTTTAAATGCAACACATCTTTTTAGCACGTTTTTTTTACCATAAAATTAGAATAGGTACTACTTTATCAAAATAATTTCAGCACCAAATTATAGATGGGTTAAAATTACATGTACAAAATATATCGATTAATTTGTTCGTTTACGTTACTTAATCTCTTCCTCAAAGTGCGTATTGTGAAGATGTGTTGTATTTAAAAGAAAACATATAGGAAGTATTACCTTCGTTTCATATAATTTGCAACAATTTGACATAAAGTGTTAGGGGTGAGCAAGACCGGGTACCCGGTCATATTTGTAATACCCGGATCCGGAACCGGTTATAACCGGGTCCCAAGAATTGGAACTGGTCCCGGAACCGGTTAATACCGGATCCAAATTTTTTGGAACTGGTCCCGGACCCGGTAGGAACCGGTTCCATAACCGGGTACCCGGTATTATTCAACGTAGTAAAATACTGTTTTTTTCTTTATAATTGTTATATAATATATTATTATATATAATGGAATTTTGCAGGCTAGTTATATTAACATAATAATATCCCTAAATTAGTTTTGGAGGCTAGCAAAATACAAATATTTCAAAATACAAATATTACAAACTAATAAGCCAAAAAGTACCAATTCAACAACCTAAAATATCAGTACAACAAACTTCAACAATGCTGCAAAGTCCAAACATCCAAACATAACCAAAACAACTACTTAAATAAAAGTTCAGAAAAAAAAAGGGAAGAAAAGGAAGGGCAGCAACAGGCAGCAGCTGAGCACACCATCAGCAGGCAGCAGCTGAGCACACCATCAGCCAGCAACAAGACCAGCAGCAAGTCAGCAACCATCTAAGCAACGGAGAAAGACAGCATACAGCAGACAACAAAGCAAAGAGGCAGCAGCCAACAAGGAAGCACAAATTCCCTATAAACAAAAGCCAAAATGTCCTTAGAATATTTGTCATTTGATATCTTTTCATACAATATAATTAAGAATACAATTATACAAACCTTTGTCACATCAATTATTTCCAACAAATTCATTAACTTGTGTGATGCCAGTGTCACTACCATCCAATTCTAAAAAAAACAGTAAACAATATAAGTAATAAACTTAGAGAAATAAAATAGATAAATATACAAAATAATAGAAGTATTAGTGTATTACCTTCTTCATATTTTTGAACATCCTCAAGGAAGCGCTCAATATCAATGCATACATTTGACGCCCTTAACCAATCTTGAGTACAAACTAAAGCTTCCACCATATTTGGCCCCAAACTACTACGAAATTGATCAAGTATGCGACCCGATGTACTAAATGCGGATTCACTAGAAACCGTAGAAATTGGTATAGCCAAAATGTCCTTAGCCAATGTTGAGTTTTTGCTTTTTGTCTACATTTGGAGGGTATTTTGAACATGCACCAAGGTGTTTCTTTAATGAAGAAGTTCCATTATTAGTATTACCTGTTAGCATTTTCTCACAATATTTGCATTTGACTTGAACAATTTTTTTGGTTACTGGATCTCTAAAATCCCAAAAATGGTTCCAGTATTCAGACTTCCTCTTGTCACCAACCTTGGTTGATTTGGTTGTTGCATTCTCGTTTCCAACCTCACTTTCATCATCCATAGGGACTGACGAATTGTCGGTATTGCTCATAGTTCTGAAATAGGAACAAATTAAACTTTAATAAGACATAAACATTACACAAAGTGAGAGTGATTATATGCATTACACAAATACATACAACAGTCAGAACTGATATTGTCTCACTCACATAAACACAAAGAAAGAAAGGAGAGACAATATGCACAGATCCTAGTACATCATCTTCATGAAGAATACAAAAAGGAATTGGAACTTAATAAAGAAAAAATGGTAATTAATCTTATGAAAAGAAGGTTCCTTTAGTTGTTGAAACACTTTCTCCTCTATAAAAACCTTTTAAACAAGCAGAATTCTACATAGAAATCCAACTGTAGTTCCTGCACATGCATCACCATCTACATCTTTCTCCACAACTACAAATTTCAGAAAAGACCAGCTCAATAAAACAAGAAATAGCTTAAACCCATAAACTAAATCAATTCATGAAACTTGACACCAACACAACAGCAATGCAAAGAAGCAGAACAACATCAATACATTAAACCTTGAGACTAAACAGATCAAGACACTTGACACAATGACAACATCACAACATATCAAAGTAAAACCTAGAAACTGAAAGATCAGTAATTCAATAGATTACGCAATAAAAATGCCTAAAAAATAGCAAAATAAACAGAATAAAAACCATTAAACTTGCGAAATCTGAGAATAAACGATTAAACCCATTAAAGTATTAAACCCCACGATTCTTCTTCGATAATATGATTTTTATAAAAAAAAAACATAAGTTAAAACGAAAGGGAAGAAGCACAATCAACACAATCGAGTTTATATTCACCCAAAATACTAGAGAATTCAAGGGAAGGAACAAATCTGAATGTTTAACTAATTTGTACTTGTAATTTGTAATTTTATCATGATTCAAACTCATCTTTAATAGTAATTTTCATAATTAACACTATTCATGATTAAAACCCTAAAAATTAGCTTTCGTTTTTCAGATCTAAACCGAATAAATACATAATCGCAAATTCGCAATTGATAATTTGATATGCAAAGTTTAAAAATTACCTTTGGAGGAATTAAGAAGTGAACGCTCGACGGTGAACGGTGGTCGACAGTCAAGAGGAGAGCGAGAGTGTGAGAGTGGTGAGTACCACTGTAGCAGAGAAGCAGAGTAGGGTGAGAAAGTGAGAACTGAGAAGTGAGTGTCTGAAGTCAAGAGGATAGAATAGGGTTTTTTTTTTTTTTTGCTTTATATACTTAGGGTAAAATCTGGAATATTGGGCTAGGTTGGGCCATAATTGTTGGGTTTTTTAAAAAAACAAAAAAAAATTTTATAACTAAATCAGTACCGGTTCCGGGTACCCGGATTGTCTGGATCCGGGACCGGGTACCCGGAACTGGAATTGGTTTAAACCGGGTACCCAGTGGGTACCGGGTCCGAAATTTTAGGACCCGGTCCCGGAACCGGTTACAACCGGGTCCGACATTTTGGACCCGGTCCCGGAACCGGTGGGACCAGTTCCGGGTCCGGACCCGGCGGATCCTAACCGGTTCCGGGTCCGGTACCGGGTACCCTGGGTCTTTGCTCACCCCTATAAAGTGTGAGTAAAAAATGTCTAATCGTTACAAATAATATGAAATAGAGGTAGTATTATAGCCTTACAGGTTAATTATTGTACAATTGTTACTACTCCTATCAACATATATTCCTGTCATGAGAAAGAGAGAGATTTGATGATGATGAGTGATCAAATCGAGAGGGGAAGGTAATAGAGAATAGGGGGAGTCTATAACCCTATTTGCGAGCTATAACTGTACAAGTTTTTTGGGTGGTATGGAATCAAACTTTCTGCCCGCCTATTTCATTGCCAAACCACAATTTATCTTTACTAATTACTATTGCCCATTTGTCCACGCATTCCCACTCGTTTTCCCTTCAATTTTTGTGCTAAATTTTGCAAATGGCTAAAGCAACTATGCTAAAAGCGGCCGTGAACTTAACCATAAGCTTATAACTACTACTCGTACTTTCTCAGTTTCATAAATATTACGGAGTACTTTACTTCATACTCCGTATTTGATTTTATATGGGACAATCTTAGTAGGAAAAATCAATACTAATAGTTGGTTCATCAAAGGTTGCAAGTATTAGTGTGATATGTCGATGATCTATAACATTTGTTGCTTAGAGTACTATGAGTAGAAAAACTACTATTAGAGGGAACTAGAGAGTGCTGGTAGTTTTTTAGTGACAACTTACTAACCTTCGGAGAGTATCCCACCATCGGAACCTCATACACTCATTTTTAAATCATCAAATTGTTAGATTTTAGAGTCTATTCATTCATACATTTTGGATTATCATCTTATATAGCCATTTTGAGATTGGAAGTCTAAAGCATAACAAAAAAAATCTAGGGCTTTTGTTAATTTGATTTGTTGGGTCTTTATTAATGATTGATTAATGACTAAAGGTCTGTAATGAGGACTATAGACAAGAGAGCTTTTGACCTAAATTTTACTAATTTTGACATAAGTTGACCCTTAGGTACCATATAGTCATTTAAAATTAGTTTATAAAGAAGTCAATAACTTTTTAACACTTCAAACCTTTTTTAAGAGGGACAATTATAATTTGTAGAATAAGATTATTTGATAATACACTTGATGATGAATGCATCTCTCTCACAACGTCACACACACGTGCAAATTGAATTATGATCTTATTTATAATTGAATATGGAGTAGCTTCAAAATTAAATTTCAATTGCATTTATACAAGTTCTTATAGGTTCATTTCTTAAACCTTGTTAACATCAAGCTTTCTTTTCATAATTCTAAGAAATAGGTCTTTATTTTTACCTCTTCAAAAATAGTTTTAGCATAATACTCTTTTTGTTGTTTCGTTTTAATAGTTTTAGCATAGCTCTCTTTTTCTTTCACAACGTCATGCACGCGCGCAAATTGAATTATGATCTTATTTTTATAATTGAATATGAAGTAGCTACAAAATTAAGTTTCAATTAATCTATACAAGTTCCTATAGATTTTCAAAAATAGTTTTAACACAATACTCCCATTGTCTCATTTTAATTGTTCACTTTAATTTAAAAACGATCACATTATCTGTTAGATGAGATAAGTAAATTAAACTTAAGTGGAGTAGCATTCTCACATCTCCAATAACCAATTGACACCATAAGTTAGTTTAAGTAGTTGATCTAAATATTCCACCAGATAATAAATTATTCAAATAAGTATAATGGAAGAGTTTCATAAGTCTCACCAATCCTATCTAATCGTAATTATTTTAGCATTTGCAAAAGTGGGTTTCAGCTAATAAAAAAGGGGAAATTTTAACAAAAAAATCAATAAAAAATAAAATAAAAAGGCTGAAAAAGTTAGTGGGACACTTCGAATGTCTCTTCTTTAATTTATCTCTCTAGGTTTATGAGGCTATGTTTGTAGCCTATTTATGGAGTACTACAATTTTTCTCGTCCAAGGTGGGTAACGTCTAACTTTTTAGTACACTAGCAAAATATATTCCAAAAAAATATTGCTCTTCCAATTTTAATATTTGATCCGTGACTAACTATGTCGCCTTTGTATTTGTCTCCTTTCGTGTTCATAAATTCAATTACTTTCTCCGTTAACTATTATGTGTAACAATGGGGTATTATTTGTGAGACACATAAAATATTCCTTTGTCGCACATAGTGATTAACGGACGTAATATTATTATTATTATTAAGAGTTTAATTGATTTGTCAATGTTTTTTATTAATCAAAGTTTAGACAATGATAGTTGATAGGGATTAAATTACCTTTTATAGATTAATAATCAATTAATCTAATAGTTATGTCTAGAGAGAGGGAAAATGTTGTTACATTTTATTGAAGTTTGTTTAATTGGCTAGTTAATAAGGTGGTTTTTAGTTGCGTTTAATCATGCTTTCTATTTGAAAATTAGAAAGATTGAATGAGGGAATGGTGATCTTCCAAACAAAAGGAGTGGCTTGATTCGATTAATCGAGCAAGTTCAATGTATAACACTCTAACCCATGATATCCGCTTTGTCAAGTTTGAATCCTATATCGTTGAAGCAAATATCAAGTGTTTCTATATAAAGATGATCCTTTGAGGAGATGAAATGCAATCTAAAGCCTACCTTTTTGGTATAGTGCTTAGTCAAAATTTTCAACACCTAATTTGGTATAATCTAAACTTTTTTATGATTTTGGTTAGAAACGACAATACTCATATATAATATGATAAGTATCGGATATTTATCTTCTAGATTTGTCTAGTTTAAGTATATTGATATAATTGAACTACTAGTAATGTAATTTGATTCAAACAAAACTTAGCAATTAGTTAAATTCATTCAATACGGGTATAATTTTGACGAAAGTGATCGGAAAAAAGGAGAGTGATTAATTATAATGATCATTGATCAATCAAAATTGGTTTATGTTGCACAATTTTACAAATGTATTGGTTTCATTTAAGTGAAATCCACATTAAAGAGTTTTCAATGAAATAAATGAAAGATGATGGTTGGCAACAGACAGTGTACGTGTATGAAAATAGTAGGACAGGCAAGAGAAGGATGTGTCTAATCTTAGTCTGCATAATTTTCTAATCTACAAGTCTATTTCAATGTCTTTCACAAATATATTGTTTTAAATTTTATTTGAAATAGACTACGTTCAGTTTTCAGTATAATTTGATATATTCAATTTGTCATCTTCCAACAACTCCCCCCCCCCCCCCCCCCCCCCCATATTTCTAGCTTCGTCTAATCTAAGTACTGAAGTAGTACAATTTATATATATATATATATATATATATATATATATATATATATATATATATATATATATATATATATATATATATATATATATATATATATATATATATATATATATATATTTTAAAGTGCAATTTATATGCCTATAAATTATTTAGAGTCTCCTGCATGCCTGGATTATTGTAATTATTTTGTTTTCATTTTCCGTTACCATGCATGATATTGATATATGTGGTGCTATATCAATCGTATCCTATGATCCACGGGAAGAGTTTGAAACTTGGAATCAAGTTCGGATACGAATTTAAGGTCCGTTTTGTTCTACTTTGTGAGTTAGTTTAAATATGGTTAGATCAATTATATAGTAACACTCTCTCTTTTTTTAAGTACTTGCTTAATTTCTCCATGTGCGGAGTTGTAAGAAAGTTGGAAAAAGTAATAAAATATGAAGGTAATAGAGTTGGTGGAAGAGAAAATATGAAATTAATAAAATATGATTTATGTTGGGTCCATTAGTTGAGAGAAATGAATTAAATATTGTAAAAACTTTCCAAATAAGGAAATGAAGCAAGTATTTTAAAACGGTTGAAAATGAAAAGTGAAGCAAGTATTTTAAAACGGAGGGAATAGATAAAATAATAAGATGATAGGAACAACTTTGATTAATTATTTTCAAAGTAAAATTTAATTAGGTTTCTACGAGTATTTGTTATATATTGCATGTGAAAAAACTTACAAAGTAATACTTTAAAGATACTTATTGGAACTAATCCAATAATAAAATTAAAAAAAAGTAAATAGAATCTGAAAATGTGAAGATGGATGAGAGGAAAATAAAAAGGAATTTAGGAAGAAGTAAAATATAACTTCTCTTGTTTTGTAAAGAAAAATGTTTTTCACCATTAGAAAAATTGTTTTTCACCCTGGTCTTTCACATATCAAACAAAGGAAAATGAGATAAAATGGAAAAATATTTTATATCAACCAAACGGTGTTTTAATGCAATGTATGGTTTTGACTATATATACACATACATAGTACGTTCTTCTACTCCGTACATTTTTTTTTTAGGAAAATGCTATACAAATCCCTAAAAGCTATGTATAAGAAGCTAAAAAGAGGAAGTTATTAATGAAATATATTCATTAACTACACTGGTCTGCGAGTGATTTTGTTATGCATTCCTAAATTAGTACCAAATAGGGAAATGTATTTAAGGCGTATTTGTAACCCTAAGGGTTACATACAACATTGCCCTTATTTTTATTCATCTATATATATCAAACTTTTGAAAAATCCATATTTAAAAAAAATAATAATAAAATAAAATAAATAAATTCATATTTATTTAAAATTGTGCAACGCACAACTTGCAATTATCGTACAAAGATTAATGTATCATCAAGCTATATCTCCCCCTAATAATAATGCATGCTAAATCAAATCATAAGGCTTTCTATATTACTAGCGCAAAACTGTGTAAATTTAATGTGATTATTGATTTTCAATCTTTATTTAGGGATAAAAATAAAAATGGGAAAAGATCCAAGGGACAAAACACAAGTCTCAATTCCGATGAACACATCCAATCACTGCGATAAATAGATTTACCGTACGCAGAAAATCAGATGCTCCATCGAATATTTTTACTATTTTCATTATTTCACTCACACCGTCCCATCATTATTATTGATATAAATATTTATTAATTTTTTTTATTATTAAATACAATACTTAAAAAATAAATTAAAAAATCGTAGTATCTATACCAAC